GAATCTATAACCAGGGGTCACAGTCTTAAAATTAAGGGTCAGCCTTTTAGAACAGAGTTGAGGAAACATTTCTTCACTCAGAGGGCAGTGAATTTATGGAATTCACTCCCCCAGAAGACTGTAGATGCTCTCAGTCCTTGAACATTTTTAAGGCTGAGACTGATAGATTTTAAAAAATAGAGGGATTAGGGGATATGGAGATAGGGCAGGTAATCAGAGTTAGGTCAGAAGAAAACCATGATCTTATCGAATGGCGGGGCAAGCTCAAGGGGCCAAATGGCCTACTCCTGATTCTTATGTTCTTAACTCGTTTCCACCAATGCACATGGTTTCCACCAAAAGGTTTATTTCCCTTGCTCAGAATTGCTGTCACCTGTGGCTGAGAAATTTGGACAAGCACAGAACTCAGGTTACTGACTCATTAATAACCTCAGAAATGTTTCCTTCAATCCAATATGTAATCAGCAAGAACTTTTAAGGGACCATAGTTGAGTGTGTGGTGCTTTCTTTTGAAGTAGCGATAACCAGTGTTGTTTTATTCCTGGAAATGATGATAAACTGTTCCATTCCTGTCCCTGAAAGTCCTGGAACATGTTGTTGCTTCGCTCCTTCCTGTTCTGCCACTCCTTTCACAAACCCCTCCAATTGGGTTTCCGTGCGGCCCGTTCTTATGGAAGAGTGCTTGTCATAGGTTTGTCATTGCGTGCTATCTGTATGACTATAAACAAAAGTTCATGTGTCTTCTGCAGTTTTAAAGTTATTTATTCACTGGCCTCTATTTGTGGTCTTGCAGGACTACGTCAGCAGATCTGCTCTCAGCGCCTGCAGATGAGCCAAAGACCAGCCTGTTCAGCCCATGCCCTTCCCACCACTCATTCCTTTCCCACAATGGTAAACACAGCCCAGTAGATGTGGTGTGCTAAGCATATCCTACCACTCAGGACTATGCTGAAAAGGGAGTTTCCTCTCCCGGTATCTGGCCAACAATCCCTCAAGTAAAGAATTGGTCATTCACTTCATGGCTGTTTGTTGGATGTTGTTGTGCGCAAATTGGCTACCCACAAAATACCCAGTCACTAGACATTACAATAAATTCTTTGAAGCACATTGAAACATCCTCTTGACGTGAAAGGTGCTATATTTCCAAATATATACCAAATGCAAGGATAATTATTATTGCAGAATTATTATGTTATTGCAATTTAGATCACTACCTAGATGTAATTTCTGTGTGGTTTTCAGTGATGGATCAGCCAGACCAACAGCACTGGCACGTTACACTTGAATGGAAATTCTTAGTATATTTTGAACGTCCCAAAATAACTACTTTCTGCATTTTGTGCAGGTATCTTATTGAGCTGTTACTGAATTGTCTTATTAACAGTTCTAGTTGCACTAATAATTATAGGAGCTATAATCTATGCTTGTCTTGTCTGCCGTATGTGTCCACATTCAATTTGTTGGTCACCATGCTTCTTGATGTTCTCCAGTTCCTCATGTCGTACGTTGTAGTCACTTGGATTGGCCACATCAGTGATACTACCTGTACAATCTAGCTGTTTTCTATGATGATATCAGGTTTGTTACAGATTACTGCCCTATCTGTATGTACTTGTGAGTCCCAGATTATTGTGATGTTACCTCTTGATATCACATTTGCTGGTTCATACCAGTTGGTCTGAACGTTATTATATCACATCTAATTCACCCAGAACTCTGCCACCTGATCTAATCTGTACTCTCATCACCCCAGTCCTCGCCAGGCTCAACTGGCTCCCTATCACAGAACGGATCAACTTCAAGATCCTCGCACTCGTTACAAATCCCTTCATGCCCTGGCACCTCCCTACCTCTCCAACCTCTTGCTTCCTGCTCCAACTCATCCGCTCGGCTGGCTCCAGCCGCCTGCATCTCCCTCATCCCCTCTGATCCAACATCGGCGGCCATGCTTTCAACCTCTATGCCCCCGATACCTGGAACTCTCCCTGAATCCCTCCACCTCGCCTCCTACTTTCTCTCTTTCAGATCACCCCTGTTCGATCATGCTTACAGTGACCTCCGGCTCAACATCGCTGTTAAGCGCCCCGAGACGCTACCCCGCTTAAAGGCCGCTATATAAATGCATATTGTTGGATGTTCTTAGCTGCATTGTTATGTCAATTCAGGTACTCTGATGGTGGGAGGACTGGACATAATGACAATATGTGGTTTATTATTTTGCTGTCTGTGTTACTTTTTATTTTCCTCCATCACTTGTTTCTTTTGTTAGAGGAGATGTGTCATTTGTCCTGTGAACATTGAACCCTAACAAGTCACCAAAATAGCAGGATTAATTCCTGTGTTGTTGCTGTTTGACATGCAATAATTGCCTCAGTAACTGGGTTCCTTTCAAAACCCGGGCATGCCAGGAATTGCTTATGTATTAACATGCTGAGACCCGTCATTTCAAGAGCTCAGAAAATATTGCATTTCATCAAACTTGTCAACGGGTTTCTGTTATCTGATGTTTGCCGTGTGGATGGCATTTGTGACAATGATTTTTGCATTTCTTTGTGAGAACTGTGCCACGATGTAATGGTGAAGATATTGTTCTGCACTCTTCATTTGAAAGTATAATACTTTCATTTACTATTCAATCCACAAAATGTTATTGTGCACATGAAGTCACTGTCAAGTGATTTTAGTGTCTTGTGCAGTATAGTACAGAGATCGTAACTAAAGGGTTACAAAATGATGCTACCTACAATTGCATGTAATGCCTGTCCTATCGGTTAGTAAGTATATCAGGACTAAAATAGTCATGGCAACAAGGAGCAACTATCTGGACTAGTTGTACTGTGCAGAAGGGCCTGGCTAAACGGTATAGTGGGTGATCTGGCTATCAAACACGTCGGCCCCAACCAAGGTGTGTCACTGTCGTACCAGAGGAGAGAATGGGGAAGGGGATTGGGAGCCAAATGGCTTTCAGCTGTTTGTCCTGATTAGAGAATCGAATGTCTCGTTGGGTTGCATGTTTTTTCTCTGCGCCTGTGTGTCAGCTCGCCTGTGTGAAGCTGTGCTTCACTGCAGCTGTTGGTTTCGGCGTGCACGGTGCTGAAGCCTGATGCAATAAGTTTTTTTTAATAAAATGTTTAATTAAAAAACCCTTTTGACAAATACTGTGGTTGATTAAAATCTCCTGAGGGTATCTGGCACCCTCCCGCTCCGGTACATTGAGAACTCTGCAAATATTGATTGCAAGTCTGAGAAATAGAATTGTTAATGTTAATGGCGCTGAAACATTTCACTGAGCTAGTGTTCAGAGATTCAACAAGATGATAATTTAAGGAGCGTTTTTGCACTGAATGAAGGATAAGAACTGCAGTTTGTTCAGCGAACACTGTCTAACTGTTTAGTGGGAAGAGTGCACATCCGACTAATTAAAGCATTGAGTGTCCCGATTAATGCCCTAGTTTGAATCCTGATTGCTCTGAAGCTGAACACCATGAGACCCGCCATTTTACCATCAAGCTCGACTTCACTTCAGTGTATTCACTGCATCATTGACATTCGATTTAATATCTAAAGCTTTGTGTATAACATATGCTGGAATAGTCAGCACTGTTGGCTCATTTCCAAATCCGGCGTGTGTGCTGCATTGTCGGAGGTGCTGCCCTTCCCATGAGATGTTAAACTGAGGTCCCATCTGCCTGTTCAGGACATTAAAGATCCTGTGACATGGTTTGAAAAGAGAAGGAGGTTTCTACTTGGATTCTGACCAACAGTTCTCCAAATAAAAATGAGTTACTCACTTCATGCTTGTTGGTGGGACATTGCTGACTTGAAAGGTTCCACACCAAACGCAAGGATGATTATTATTATAAATCTCTTTAATTGATTTATGATATCTGATATATTGAACTGTCCTGTTTCAAATGGCTACAGGCATATTCGCGCAAGAATGCTGCTGTAGCAGAAGCTATGAGCAGAAAGATGAATTTCATTTCATAATTGAAATGTTTGTCAGCAAGACATTGATTGAATGCATTTGCTTTGACGAGGTCCCTTCTGTTAGCTGCTGAGGTCTCCTTGCTGAAGGAGTAAAGTGCAGATCTGTTACAGGTTTGAATTTTACTCACATACATAACCTACTTGTGTTGAAAACCAACTATTATGCTCACAAACCTAAAATGCTGTAACTGTTTTGCAAATAATGACTGGTGGGTAACACGCAGACTTGGATTTCAAAAGAGATTGTCTAACTTTGGAAATGCAATCTCATGAGCATCTTTATAGGAATTGAAAAACAAATGGACTTCTAGCTTATCAGAGTGAGCTGTTGGTTCGTATGAGACACAGTGGGTTTCTCCTAGCTTCATAAATAGTAACATAGAATATAAAACAAAAGAGGTGATGACCAACCTGTACAAATCGTTAGTTAGACTACGGTTAGAGTATTGTGCCTAGTTTTGGTCTTTCCACTTTAGGAAGGACATCAGGATCATAGAGAGGGTGAGAGGGGATTTACTAGGATAACACTAGGCACGAAACGTTTTAACTATGAACAGAGACTGGAGGAACTGGGCTATTTTCACTGGAACAGAGACATTTGAGGGGAGCCTGATTGAGGCTTTAAAAGGTGAAAGGTTTTGATAGTCGATGGGGAGCAATTATTTCCACTGGTTGGTGAGTCAATGATTAGAGGGTGTCAATTAAGATACAAAAGTCAGCAAGGGAGCAAAGAGGGAGATTAGGAGGATTTAGGAGTGGTTAGGTTGTGGAATGACCTGCTGGGTGGAATGGTTGAGGCAGGATTCATATTAGCTTTGAAGAGAAACTAGATGAATTTCTCTAAAAGCCTAATTGTATGGAGGGAAAGTTGGGTAAATGGGACTGAATTAACTGCAGCGACAGTGGTCTGAACAGCTGCCTTCCTTGCTGTAAATTATATAAGGAATATTTGTCTGTTCATTTTGTGCTATGGTACTGTATATCTGACCTCGTCCATTCTCTCCTTTCAGGAATGGTGTGAACGTGGAGGGAGCAACACACAAGCAGGTTGTGGACCTGATCCGGGCGGGAGACCAAGAGCTGATCCTTACAGTGTTGTCTGTCCCACAGCAAGAAGCTGAGCGCCTTGACCCAGGCGATGACTCCTCTGGGAACATTTACTATGACTACAGTGAGAAACGGGCAGTGCCCATCTCCATCCCTGGCTACAAGCACGTGGAACGGAATGGAGAGAAGTTTGTGGTGAGTGGTTGACTTTGGAAAGGGTTTCTTTGCTGGGTTTGCATTTCATGGTATAATAATAACAATAATAATCCTTGCATTTAATAATAATAATACTTGCATTTGATATAGCGCTTTTCACGTCGGGAGGACGTCCCAAAGCGCTTCACAGGATATACTGCAAAGTGAATTGACTGTATATTTTGTGGGCGAAATGCATAGCAGCCAATTGCGCACAGCAGCGTCCCACAAACGTCGTAGATTGAGTGACCAAATTATTATTATTTTTAGCAAGCTCAGGTTGTAAACATGTAGACGTGTACAGAGAAGGCCAGCGGAGATTCTGCAAAATACTAGTGTTGGTATTTCTAGCATTGAAAGCCTTGTATATTAGCTTGATGTTGGTGGTTACCTCTTCTTGTACCTGTTTAAGCCATCACAGTAAGCTGTCCTGCTACTTCTGTTCCAGGTGTTTAACATCTACATGGCTGGACGTCAACTCTGCTCCCGACGGTTCCGGGAGTTTACTATCCTTCACCAGAATCTCAAGCGGGAATTCTCAGATTTTCACTTCCCAAAGCTTCCGAGGAAGTGGCCGTTTTCCCTTTCGGAGCAGCAGCTGGATGCCAGGCGGAGGGGTCTGGAGGAGTATCTGGAGAAAGGTGAGAAGATCAGCCCACCTCATTTACTTGAGGGGTAAGAATGGCTTGCGTTGGGAAAGGTGGTGTCTGTTTAGTTGTATGGAAAGTTGGCATTTTTCCAGTGAGAAAATATAAACGATCATTATTATAGTTCATTTCCTTTCACTTCCAACCTGTTCTTCCACTCCAAAGAGCTGGAACAAATTGTCACCTCTAAGCTTGACTCCAGTCCATCTTCCGCTCTACCCACAGCTGAGACATCCCTGGTCAGTCAGAGTTGATGTCCAGAGTTGAGTTCGCCCATACGCACTCCTCTTTATCTGCTTCACTCCCACGTCTTCATCCATTCGGCCCTCGCTCCCTGGAACACCATTGTGGAGTCCTTCTGCCTTGTCATCTCCCTCTCCGCCTTCAGAGCTCGGCTTAAGACCGAACTCTTTGACTGCGCATTCTCTCTCTCTCTCCCCCCCCACCACCCCCCATCCCCCTGCCGCTGCACCCTGTCCCACCTCCCCATATGCAGACTCCCAGTCAGTGTGTGAAGTGCTCTGATCTCCTAATGTGGAAGGTGCTGTATAAATGTAAATTGTTTCTATGTTTGTCTCTATTCCTGTCTTCTTCCTGAGCCATTTTTAGAAGCCGATTATTTTACGTTATCCAGAATTGGAAAGAAATACCCTATAATTTAATGACAATTTCTGGTTAACTCAGATTTTTAATATATAGTGACACTACAATCTCCTGTGGTAAATGGCATGAAGTGGATTGAATAACATTGGCAAACAAACCCAAGAACTAAAACATGACCTGTTTTATGAGATCTCTGTGATTTTGAATGAAATATGCTCATTAGTGATCTTCTTCATTCACATCCTTCACATGTTCCTACATAAATCCTCATAATTGTGGACAATTGAGAGGCTGTTGACCCTTTTAGATTTGGTTTGCGGCTTTAGGAAGTTGCTGGTTAAGCTATGGTTTGTTTATTTTTGTGTTGAGCAATAAGAGTAGCCTGGGATTCCCGCCTGGAAACAAGACTAAAAGTGACTAATATGGGAGCACAAACTGATATGGGAGCACGGGTTTTGAAAAGGTCCTTTTATATCAGTGCAAACGTGTGCCAAAGAGAACTTAGTGTATCACATATGGGTAATAATTCTTTCAAAAAAAAATAATAATAAATTGGTCACTTCAATCCAGGACTATTTGTGGGACACTGCTGTATGCAATTGACTGCCGCGTTTCGCCTACAAAATATACAATTAATTCACTTTACAGTACATTCTATGAAGCGCTTTGCGACCCCTTGAAGATGTGTTAAGGCGCTATATGAAATGCAAGGATTATTATTATTATTATCCATTTACATAGTGTGTGTGTATGTTTGCATTTATATAGCACCCTTCATGTGGGTTAGCAAGGTGTGGGTGTATGTGTGTCGGGTAGGGTGAATGTTACTCTGGAAGAAAGCTGAGGTTGGTTAAAAAGAGATTTGATTTACAAGTACCAGTGTCCTGACTATCAACTGATAATTTAGCTCTTACGTCTGCTGGAAAGCTCTTACAAGCTTTTTACTTCTGTTTTTATTACTATTTTGAGACTGACCAGTTAGTTCTTATTGGGATTTACCACTTATTGAAGTTTGAGCTTGACTATTAACTTTAATGGGAGCTCAGCCAGAATGAATTGCAATGAAGCAGATTTGTAATAAATTCCCCACTATAAGCCTTATCCTGCCAGTCTTTCTCTTTGAGCTTTCTTGAAGCTTTGTGAGGCAATTTATTCTAATAATAAAATAATAATCCCTGCATATGATAAATTGTCTTTCACTTCAAGGGGATGTCTCAAAAATCATCTCATGGGAGGTACTGTAAAGCGTAGTGACTGTGTGATTTTGTAGGTGAATACAGCAGACAATTTGCACACAGCAGTGTTCCACAAACAGCAGTTTCCTTACTCCACACACCTCTGTTTACCCAGGAAAGACCCATTTTATTTGGGGGCTTCATAGCCAAGACACTTGGAGCAACTTCCTTCTGTTTTCATATAGTGTCGTGGGATCTTTAATGCCCACCTGAAATGCTCATCTTGTCTCAACGTCTCATCCGAATGATGAGCTCTAACAATGTCCCTCGCCACCATCTGCCTGGTTACATGTTGGTGAAGGTGACCTGCATTGGCTTATCCAGGTTCACTAGCTGCTATCAATTGATTTTCAATCTGCTGAGAATTTGATGGAACATGGCAAATGTGGAGTCCTGTAGCTCAGTGATTAGAGCACTCGCCTTGCAAATGAGAGGACCTGGGTTTGATTCCCGGGAGGGTGAAATGTTGGGCAAATTTCCTTACACCACACACCTCTGTTTACCCAGCAGTAACTAGGAAGCCGGTTGTTAGTCGATTGGCGGATCACGTTTCTGGGGTTAATAAACCCTTCAAAAATAAATAAATAATAATCTGGTCACTCAATCAGTGACTGTTTGTGGGACGCTTCTGTGCGCAATTGGCTGTCGTGTTTCGCCCATAAAATATACAGTCAATTTACTTTACAGTATATCTTGTGAAGCGCTTTGAGACGTCTCGAAGACGTGATAAGGCGCTGTATCAAATGTCAGGATTCTTATTATTTTAATGTTCTGAAACTGGTGAGAAGGGCAGCGGAAGAGGAGCGTGAAGAAGTGCCTGTCCCACAAGCTTTGGGCTCCCCTCACTCTCAGCTGTAAGTGGACAACCTACAGAACTTTGTAAATATGAAAATTTCCAAAAGTAAGACTTCAAATATTGTCAAAAATCTTAGGTGAATTGATGGTACTTATAATTAAAATTATAATAATTAATGTTTATCTTTGCGTTTGATATAGTGCCTTATCGAGTTGTCATGATGTCTCAAAGTGCTTTACTGGATTTTACAGTGAAGTTCGATTGTGTATTTATTGGCAAACCCAGCAATTTGCGTACAGCAATGACCCACAAACAGACATATATGAGAAGCTAAGGGATACAGTATTAGTTTGGGACCCGACATGTCAGTGGCTGCTAGGATGTTGAAATGCGAACTAGATGGACCTTGGTTTCCTTTGGCAGCAAATTCTTATGTTCTTATGTTTTTATTTCACAAACAAATGACCCGAAATAGCATTTTCATAGAAATGTATCTTGAGAATGAGCAGAAACTATAGTTAAGGCTATCCTATGATAGATGATTGTATATGATTCAGAGAAGTAAGTGTGTAGAGTTAAGTTGGAATGTGACCTGTTTGAGCAGTGAATGCGCCTGCACTGTGCAAATGGAGAGTGCAGCACTGAATACACTAGATCCGAAAGAGCTGCAGTTTCAATCTGAGGGTTCCTGCAGGGCACAGAAAGCTAAGTTGAGTGAAAGCTTGCCTCAGGTACTGTTTCACATAGTTACAACATCTTAACATTTTGTATCATTATTCAACACGATAGTTTTACTAACCGACTGCAGCGGAGGCTTGTGCTGGTTCTCCATTCGACTGAAAAACAACACAAACACAAAGCCTGAGGCAATGTGTGGTATATTTGTACTGGTCCTCGACTGGAAGTGTGTCAGTGATATGGAAGTAAGCCAAGTTGTGTTGCTATTATTTCTCTGTAGCTGCACCCAATGTCAGCCTTGAGCAATTGCCGGGTTAGATACAGTGCAGAGGTTTGGCGTGCTGAGCAGCTCAAATCACTTGAGCACTGCACCTGGGCCCTGGAGTCCTCAGCTCTTCATCCTCTGAAGGTTGTTAATGTTAGTAAGAATCAATATACCTATGAGGTAAGGGCTGGCCTTCCTGTGGCCTGCATTCATCCAGGCTATTAGTAAGTAAGCAGGTGGCCTGGCTCCTCCAGGAGATCTGAGGCGATAGACAAGGTCGATGGTTTTGCTCATTCAGCGCCTCGGGATGTCATCCTGACATGAAAGCCGCTATACAAATGTAATTTGTTGTTGTTCTGTGCCTAACTGTACGCCGCTGCCTTTAGAGATTTGAGTGTGCCCACGTGACAGACCAAAGGGGCTTGTGCTGAGCACAGTCACTGTTTACATTGCAGAGGACATGGTGTATTAACTTGTTGCTTGCTGGCCCACACGTCAGGGAACGTTGGGTTTGTACAGTGTGCCGAGAGCTCAGCAGCAGTTTCTGGTCAATGCATTTTTTTTGCCAAACTTTTTTTTTTGCCCAGTCAGGTGTCTAACACAAGCGGAAACCCGCGCTTAAGAATCTCCAAACCAAACTGAGATTTCCCTGCATCCCATAATGGAATGCGCAGTCTCTCCCTGGAAGGACGCATCCTGCTTACCTAAAACTGGAGAGTATTAGTCCTGTAGCTCAGTGGTTAGAGCACTCGCCTCACAAGTGGGAGACCTGAGTTCGATTCCCGGCAGCTCAGGGCAAGACCTTGGGCAAGTTTCCTTACTCCACACGCCTGATAATAATCCGTCAAGAAAAAAAGAATAAAAATTTGGTCACTCAATCCACAACTGTTTGTGGGACGCTGCTGTGCGCAATTGGCTCCGTGTTTTACCCACAAATATACAATCAATTCACTTGACAGTATATCCTGTGAAGCGCTTTGAGATGTCTAGAAGATGTGAAAAGTGCTATATCAAATGCAAGGATTATTATTTATTAGGCGCAGCTTGTCAAGAGCCAAGGCTTGGGGGGACCCCAGAGTGTGCGTTGGGGTAACGGCTGGAGTCTAACCAGCTAAACCCACACAGCTTGCCATTGATATTGCTGTCTGGTAAGCTTTCCCGCTGCTTGTCCAGCTGGGCCCGCCCTACCTGTTAGTTAGGACTTTGGCTGCGGGGTTAACAGGAATTGAGGGGGAGGATTCCCTGCCCCCAGTGACTGGTCGGCCCTTCCAAGTCCTGCTGATTGATGAGCTGGGCTGTACTGCCATCAGCAGTGCCATGGGATACTGCAGACCCTCCTGGTTCAGGAAACGGACTAGAGGCCGTCACAGAGGCTCAATTCCAACATTCCATTGCCAGGCAAGTCACCTTGGAGAGC